TATTAAGCAATACATTAGCAATGTGCAATACACGAGATCTGTTAGCTCCTGAAAGCCTTGAAAAGCCTTTTCCTTCACTGATAGAGAGTGGGTTTTATCAGCTCAGCTGTTGACAGCTTTCCCCTCATTCAGTCTTTGCATGAAAAACATAATTAATACTGCCTTGAATAGTCCAAGCTGAGTTGAGAAACCATCTGTCAGAGATGTCATGTCAGTAATTCCTGCCTGGGATGGAACTGGATGTTAACCAGTTTAACCAGCTTTCTTTCAAACCTTGACTCTCCTTAATCATGGTAAAAATTCATTTTTTCCAAATGGGAAAGTTGGTCCATGTGATGTTTGGATTCTAATGGAATCATTAAAAGATGAAAATCAAGTCTTTCTGTATGTCAAAGACCAGTCCTCATCCCACCTTTCTTCTTCTTTCATTCTTTCTTTCTTCTTTCTTTCTTCTTTCTTCTTCTTCCTTCTTTCTTCTCTTCTCAAGGGCTACCTAAAAATAGACCATTTCTGCAAAGAGAATTTAAAAATTAAGGGGAAAAGTCTCTCAATTTATGTTCTCTTTATATTAAGAGAAAAAGTCTCTAGGGAAAAATTCGCTACATTCATCCCAGTTTAATTTACAATTGGGTTGCTAGTGTCTAGAAGCCACTGCCTCTGTGATGGTTTCATACCTCAATGTTAAAAATCAGAATGAGGCCAATTCTAGTGAATAGAAGTCCACACAAACAATTGCTGTTTTTGTTGGTTCCTCTGGTACCAAGTCTAAGAATAGAAAGAAAAAAAAAAAACCTGGCAACACAACAACATCATCTTTTACAGCCATCTTTCTCTTCAGCATAAACTGAGGCATGTGTTTGATGGAGGGAGGGAAAGAGTGTTTCTTTTATTTCCCCTCAGTAAAGGAGCTTAGTTCCATTAAACAATGTTGGAAAACATATTGGAGATAGTATATTTAAAATTAATTTAAAATGTAAAGTGTTTTTAATGCCTTTTAATATAAATAAAAATTGATTTTATTAAAATGCTTTCAGATATTACAATACAATGATTTATTTATCACTCCAAGTCTGTAGCATGACTATAACTTCCTTTCCAAGTATATTGATTTTTAAATGTATTATGGAAGTGGAAAAAGAACCAAAACAGTCTACCAAAATTCTTCACCATCCCTCTTAAATAGAACCAGGTCCATTATGTCAATGGAGTCTATTTCAAAACAGTATGGGAAAATTATTTTTTCAAAAGGATAGGATTAACCAGTTAGAAACATTTCTTAAATAACAAAGGACATGTCATACTTTTCTAAGTTGTGTTTTGCTGAGTCGAAACATGAAATGTCAAATATTGATAAAATATTCAAAGTTAAGTACACTGAAATGTCTGAAATATTGATATGGATTATAAACCTTTTGGAGTCTTTGCAGAACCTAAAAATGTCATGTTAACATGAGAAACTTAAAAGATCATATTTCTCTGTAGATACAGTGCCCAGATAGAATTGATTTAAAATTTAAAGCACCTTTAGAAGAAAATTTCAGTGTTGCTGAAGTTAAACATGGAGCAAAAATCATACTTGTTACTTTTCTTCCATGTTTTCTGTTCAGGACTCCTTAGACTTTAAGGTATTTAATCCAACTCAGAATAAATATTGGTGCAAAAAATTTAATTTTAACTTTTGGGGCATTTAGCTCTCACAATGATGATCCTTCCAAATGCTATGTTAAATATGTAGCAATAATTATGTATTTTTCCTAGCTTGTGATATAAGGTATCATGCCTCTTGGTGTATTATTCTTCGATCAAGATTGCCTGACTTCAGATGAAGAACTCCACTTCAGAGATCTGCTTAAATATAAGACTATAACCTGAGGAATTAGTACTAGGCTGATTTTCAGTTATGTATCCTGGTATTAATAAATCCTTGCTATTTCCCATGGAATAGAGTGTTTTTGTTACTAGTGCCTGGTTTTTAGACATCTACACTTGCATTTGTGATAGTGAAAGGGAAGAGCAATACAAACTGTAAGGTGAAATCCGTAGAAGATCCGTAAAGAAATCATTGTGGTCAGTAGACAGAGGCATGACAGTGTTGCTGTTAAGAACAGACCCTGGAGTACAAAGTACTTGGATTCAAGTGTAAATATTCAATAGCTGTATGACTTGAGCAGTTACTTAACCTCTTCCGGCTTCAGTTTCATTGTCTTGGTTGTAAAAGGAGGGTTGCTAGAGGTTTAAGTAAAATCTGTGGGTTTGTATCTGTATGTATATGCATACATATGTATATATATCCACAATTAAGAGATATAGATCATATTTTATATGCATTACTTTGTATATGGATATATATTAAGATTATATATATCTACTTAAGATGTATAAATGATACTCATTTAAAATATATACATGGATATATACATATATTCACTTCAGCCTTCAAATAGAGGCTCATTTTTTGGCAGGTGGTGTTCCTTAAATATTAACTATTATATTGGCTTGTCACTTCTATATCTGAACATATAATGAACATCTGAACATCAAATGAATGAGTTAACAAAATTGATTGATCTGATGATTCTTGTTTTTTCTTTCAAGTTTCAGTTATAGCAAAATGTCAATCAAGAAATTGAGTAAACACATAACAAGAAGTCTTATAGCAAGGTGCTGAGTTCATAGACAGGATAATCACTTCCGGAATACATACGAATGAAGTCTTTGTAGAACTAGAAGAGGCGCTGTTAATGGACTTCTGTTTTAGAGATGATGGATTGATGTTCATTCTGATGAATATCCAGCCTGATGAGGACCCTCCTAGCAACTGCCTCTCATTGCCTAGTACTAAAAAAGTAGCTTTCCGAGGTAAGTATAACTTCCTATAAACCAAAACACTAATACCTGAGCTTCATAAGGACAGATTTTGTTTGTGTTGGGTCATTGCTGTATCTGCAGAATTTAGGCAAACGCCTTGCAAATAATGGGTGCACAGTAATTATTTCTTGAATGAACTGAATGGATGGAAAACTTGGTCTTTTCTTTAAAATAGGATTAACATTAAAAGCAAAACAAACAAACAAAAAGTAACAGGCTTTCCTACTTCCTGACAGATTTCTGAACCTAGGAACGCTGGTAAGCAGGTAAGCAGGGATGAGGAGCAGCACATGAAGGATGTAAGTGCAAACATGTACATTTAGCAAGTATCCTAGAAGTCAAGGATTTGGTTAAGCATTCACAGGAATGTGTGGTGTGGTGCCACACTTAACTCAGATTCCTGTGCAATGGGTCACATTCATATTACAAATATTTGCTTAGCATCTGACTAACTTTAGTGCCTATACTTATACTTTTCTCTGGCCAGGGTTTTCAGAAATCCTTTACCTATGACCAAGTTTCATGAAGTGACACTTTAACTTTCTGCAAACATTTGGTTTGCTACTCAGCTTTGACTAGCTAAAATAATCAGTTTGACATGATCCATTCCACAGGTGGGGTTGATTATATTGCATTATTTATAATTTAGCTCACAACCTCAGATAGTGGATTCAAATAACATTCTCAAAATTATTCCCAACAATCATCTAAATACATATTCGTTTTTACTGCCATAGCAAATATTTTTTGAAACCAGAAAGAAGTCCCCTTTCATAGCATAGACAAGCTAATAATTTGAAGCGGAAACTATTCATTTGTACAAACTGTAAGTTTTCCTCATAATTTTCGTAAGGAAAACTGAGAAAGCGTTAGTCATCCTTGGCTGAGCTGTACTCAATTCTACATCTTTTCTAAATATAATAAAACAACAAACAACCTTAAAGTACATTATTATTGATTAGACATGATTTCTTAAAGCGGTTTTTATCATCTCATTTAACTTTGGAGCTTCCAGATAATAATGAGTCACCAAAAAGCTATCATTGATTTATACTGCACATTAGCACATCAGGTTTGGCCCAAGAACTCTGTGGGTCCAGAAGGAAAAAGAAAGACGATTACGAGTGAGCCGTGGCAGAAATACTCTGAAAACGCCTATCTGTATTCACGGTAAGCAATTAGGTCTAATGCGAGTATAATGAACATTCAGGTTCATTTTATTCCAAGGAACTGTTTCTGTTCTTGAAGCTGCGTGTAGAAAGAGTCCTTAGGGTTAGAATACTATTGTGGGTGATAAAACTTTGCTTGGCCTTTGGGCATATAAGGTAAACATTTCACAGCAAAAATTTACAGCTATAGATAACACAGCATGTGATCAACGTTAACATACTTGGCGTTTAAGGCTAATCCACATTGGAAAAACAATCATCTCCAGGATGAAGATCAAATATCTTAACACAGTGTCACCTGTCTGAGTTGCTAGAAAATATTTATTTAAAAATCGATCCATAGGATGTGTTTTCACATTTGTCAGTTTCTTTCCACTTGCGTGCTAGAGGGAGGCACTTTAAGAGTCATTAACTGTCATTCTAGGAGTAAAAGACACCGAGTTTCAGCAGTGATTGGTAAATACGGCAGGGAATTAAAATGAAATTGGATTAAAAAGAAAGTAAAAAAAAAATGACTGAATTAGAAAATTTCACCAAATCTTGTAAAGATCACTAATTTCTGATTTGAATAACTTCATTCTTAAAAAAAAAAAAAAAAAAAAGAAGACTAGTAGTTATCACCCACCCATGCCCAAATAAGTGAATATACTACAGCTTCTGATGTTAAGGTATCATGGTTCTGCTGTTTGGGCTTGTAAGGGTTTTAAATATTGACAAGTACTCTGAGTTATGTTTTGAGTAAAATTTCAACATGTTGTATTATGCATAGGTTCCAAAGTGTCAGAAAAACCGAAAAGTCGAATAAAACATATTAGAAGAGCTTAGGAAAACGTATAAAAATTAAAAGGCCAAAAAAAAAAAACCACTCTGTTTTAAACGTGTAAAAAAAATAAATCGAATTGGTTCGTGGGACTCGAATGACTTTTACTTTTTCTTTTTCTTTTTTTTTTTCTTTTCTTTCTTTTAGATAGTCGGTATGTACTGAACCCGCCACAACACGTTGAAAAGTAGGTCCTGGTACACACTAAGGAATATCCAACCAGGTAAATACATGAGGGTGATGAGGCCCATGAAATTGAGCGGGTAGTGAGAATAGTCCCAGGAGCAAGCGCCGCACGTGCGGAGGCCCAGGCCCCAGCTCAGCTCCCACGCGTAGATGAAGGTCACGTACACGCGCACCCGCCTCCAGGCGCTCCAGCCGCGGCTCCGGCGCAGGTGGAAGTAGAGTCTCTCCACCGCGAGGCTGCAGCTGCCGTACATAAAGAAGGACCAGAGCGACGTGTGGCCGCTGGCCGGCCCGTGCGCCTGCCCCAGCAAGTTGAAGAAGAAGGTGAAGAAGATCTCATCCAGGAAGCCGTGCATCCCGAAGAAGAGGAGAGCGGAGCGGGTCCGGCAGCCCGCGAGCGGGGGCCCCGCCGACGCCCCCGTGCCTCGCGGCGGCCGTCGCCGGCCACCTGCGCCCGGGGCGGCGGGGGGCGCGCGCGGCCAGGGCTGGGGCCGCAGCTCGGGCGGCCGCCGGTACCGCAGGCGCAGGAAGCGCGTCAGGAACACTTGGCCGTGGTAGAGCGCCAGCACGTACTGCAGCGCCCAGCGCAGCGGCCCGGCACCGCCGCGCCCGGCCCCGCCGCGCCCGCGCGCCGCGCAGGCGCCAGGGTCTGCAGCGCCACGTGGGCCGACGGGTAGACCAGGAAGTTGAAGACGAAGGCGCTGGGGCAGCGCGGCCGCTGCAGGTAGACCTTCTCCAGGGCGAAGTGGGTGAGCGAGTGCAGCAGGCAGCGGTAGGGCGAGGAGAACCCCAGCATCCGGAGGTCCGGGCTGCGAGCGAAGCGCCGGGCCGAGACGCCAGCACGTCCAGGGTGATCCCGTGCATCCCGTAGAAGTAGAGCCGCATCCAGGCCGGCAGCGCGGCGCCGGCGGCCGAAGCTTCAGCAGTGGACAGCGGCTCCGGGCGGCTGGCGGCAGCCTCGCGCCCCGCCCGCCCGGCCCCCGGGCGCCGCGCCGCGCCGCTCCTCGCGCCCGCCCTCCGCGCCCGCATCGCTGCCGCCATGGGCTCAGCAGCTGCCGGGCGTGGAGCTGCGGGCCGGGCCGCCGAGGCCCCCGGGGGCGCGCAGGGAGCTCCGTCCCGCCGCGGCCCGATGGCAGCCGGAGCCCTAGTGTCCGGGAGGCGCGCGGCCGCCCAGCTCGCGGAGCCCCCCCCCGCGGAGCCCCCCCCCCCCCCCCGCGCAGCGCCCCCCGGCCCGGGTGGGTGCAGCCGGCCGGCGCCCGCGCTCCCTCCGCGCGGCCTAAGGAGGAGCGGAGGCGAGGACCGCTGCGAGCCCCGTCGCCGCCGCCGCGGGCTCCCGAAGCGGAAAGCGAGCAGTGACGCCCTTCCCCGCCTCCCGTGCTCCCCTCCGCTCGCCCTCTCCCGCCTTCGCCGGCCCCTCCCGCTCCCGCTCCCGCTCCCGCTCCCCTCCCGCTCCCCCTCCCGCTCCCGCTCCGCCCTCCGCGCCGAGGCCCGCGGGGTCCCGGCCTCGAAGCCCGGCCGCGCCTCTCGCCCTCCTCCTGGGACGGCGCTGGCGGGGGCGGCGGGAGCGGAGAAACCCCCACCCGGGGTGACCCCACCCGGGTGGCCCTCCCGGGGGCGCGGAACCAGGGCCGGCCGCTGGCGAGGCGCAGGGCCTCGTGCCGCACACCGGAGGCCGGGCCTGGGCGCAGGCTGCGGGGCGAGTGTTCAATGTTCTGCTTCGAAGCCGGCTGTGTCCCGGGCACAAAGAATAAACCCGAGACTCGGTGCCCGCACGCCCCAGCATCCGAAACGTCGCCTGGTTCACTTTGTCACTCTCTCTCCCCGACAAGCCTGTTTTCCTGTTAGTCTGCTGGGGGCCAAGACAGAGATTCAAAGCTCCCCAACCCCCCCCCCCCCCCCCGAATTATGAAATGATCTGAGGCCAGTTGGGTTGGACGTTGCTCTGGCTGCCGCGGAGGCTCTTGTCAACAATAGCACCCCTGAGGGATCCCCGGGTGGCTCAGCGGTCTGGCGCCTGCCTTCAGCCCAGGGCGTGATCCCGGGGTCCCGGGATCGAGTCCTGCGTCGGGCTCCCCGCAGGGAGCCTGCTTCTCCTCTGTCTGTCTCTGCCTCTTACACCCCAGTGCTGCTTTTTCTCCTTGCAGAACTAGATCATCCCAGAGATGAAGACTGAGAGTGAGATTTTTTAATTAATTAATTATATTAATTAAGGTAGAATTATGGAATCTAGAACTTTGGTGTGTTGAGGGCTGCGCTTTTTTTTTTTTAAGATTTTATTTATTCATGAGAGACAGGGGGCAGAGACATAGGCAGAGGGAGAAGCAGGCTCCCCACAGGAAGCCCGACGGGGACTCGATCACCAGTCTCAGGACCCTGGGATCACAACCTGAGCCAAAGGCGGATGCTCAACCACTGAGCCGCCCAGGCGGCCCTGGGGGCTGTGCTTTATAATCCAATTTTGAATCAGGCCTTAAAATTGAAAAAAAAAACTTGGAGGTAGATGATACCTTAAGGTATATTTTACCTTAAGGGATTTATACTCCCCTACCCGCTTCATCTGTAGGCAGAAACTAGATAGATAAAAGTTCTAATCTGAAAGGAGATGGGATGTTTCTTGGATGGAAGGTTTTCTGGGGATTCTTTTTTTCCTCCCGGAGAAATAAATATTCTGAGGCCAATGCCCCTATTTTTAAAAGCAATCTCCACCACACTCCCTCCCTTTACTTATTTCAACCCCCTATGTTAAAGTCTATAGTTGCTAAATTGTCTGTGACTTAGGTATGAGACAAAAGTATGATGAGAAGAAAAATAGTTAAAGTAATATCACTTGTGTAAGGGCAAAGTAATGACTTATTCTTTTTAGTTTTGTTAGCTTGTGGTTTATTGGCAGACTTCCTTTGGTAACTGTTAGTGGGTGGAAATGGTCGTGCCAGGGACAAAAGCCTCAGGTAACAGGCCTGTCAGACCAGCTGCAAAAGAGGAGAGGGTTAGTTGCCCAAATGCCTGAGCAAGTACAATGAAGAGAAATAATAATGTTAAAAAAAAAAAACTAAGTTCAACTGAGTAAATGTGAAGATCTAATCGACTTTAATCAATGATTCATGAATTGGGCTGCATCCCATTTAACAAACAGAAATGAGCTCCAAGGAGCTATACAAAATGAAGACTTCTATAGGCAGAAACAAGGCAAGACATGGAAAGTTATTAGTAAAAGCAAAGAAAGAATTGTTTCAGGCAAGGTCATCTTCCTTTGGGTTGGGGGGTCTGTTGTGCAGACCACCACACTAGTACTGATCAGGAAATTCCAGACGGTGATTAAAAGTCACATTTCTGTAACTAAGTCCTGGTTTGCTCTCTTAGGGCAACCGACTCCATAGTGAGTCTGTTATTATTATTTTTTAAAACACTGTAAACATTTTCATGAGCACTTACTATATACAAGATGCTAAATACACTGGGAAAATAAAGAGTTTTAAGATGCACTGTTTAAGAAGTGAATACTCTAGTTGATGGGATAATAACCTACCATATCTGTGTAAAGCCTACCTATGATTATTACTGGTAATAATTATGACCAGCTAGCTCCCCTTGATCAATAATTTTGCTTTCCACAGTCCAAAAGCAGATGATCTTCCTTCTGGTGTATCATCAGAAGGTCAGTAGCAGCCTAACACTATGCCGTTCACCTCACTTTGTCTCATCATGTGGGCATTTTATCATCTCACATCATCATAAGAAGGATGAGTATAGTACAATAAGATACTTTGAGGGAGAGAAATCACATTCACATTACTTTTATTGAAGTCTAATGTTATAATTGTTTAATTTTATTATTGTTGCTGTTAATCTCCCACTGTGCCTAATTTAGAAATTGAACTTTGATATTGGTAAGTACGTACAGGAAAAAAACACAATACGTATAGTATATATACTCAACACTGGTGGTTTCAGGCATCCGCTGGGGGTCTTGGAACATATCCCCTGTGGCTAAGGAGGGGAACTACTATACATACCAATGAACATATTTGAGTTATTATTTTACTAAATAAACTCAACCCCGGACCCAATTTATCGATACCAAAAAACAAATGCGCTTGTTCTCCAAAATTGCTATCCAAGCAAGGGAAAGCACTTCATGGTAGTATAAATATAGCCATTCAAACATGCATATATTAATTCACTATATTAAACCTGAATTGTTTTCTAACAGTATACTAAACTTCCAGGGTCTAAGTCTCTTCTAAGTCTCTATTATTATGAACTTTCTTTTTTTAAAAAAAGATTTTATTTATTTATTCATGACAGACACACAGAGAGAGAGAGAGAGGCAGAGACACAGGCAGAGGGAGAAGCAGGCTCCATGCAGGGAGCCTGACGTGGGATTCGATCCCAGGTCTCCAGTATCAGGCCCTGGGCTGAAGGCGGCGCTAAACAGCTGAGCCACTGGAGCGGCCCTATTATAAACTTTCTTAAAGATGCAAGGAAAACCTTGAAAGGTCTAATTTGATAGTTCAGACTAGTTCATCTCAGGGAATGTAGGAAAATCTTTTGGATTAAACACAAAAACTAGTATCTTCTATTTCTGTATTTTTAGCCTCCACACTTAACAAAATTTCAATTTTGTGTACCATACATGTCATATGAATTATATGGTATAATAAGACATGTATAAAATTTATGCATGTATAGTACATGCATGTTCTAAACACGCTAATTTTTTTAAAATTAGGGAATATATAATAAAAGGCTTGTGTCTCACCACTGTTGTCAATGTATTGCTCTGCTAAGTGGGGAGTGGGTTAGATTACTAAAAATCTCAATGTTCTAGGTCCTTTTTTTGAATCTGTTTCTCATTTCTTCCGGGAGAAATAATGCAAAATAGCAATTAACAGTTATAAGTCCATAGCAGAAAAAGCAGCTATTACCTGTTATTCTATATTTCTTTTTATATTTTTGTTGTGGCCTCGCCTTAGTTACGCCACTTCAAAATGTATGAAACGCTAACCTTTTTAAAAAGTAGACCAAAAGGATAAAAGGAAAAGTTTTTAAAAAAGACATGAAACAAAGGGCAAGGAAACTATTCATTATATAACTTGCTATTATTAATTATTTTCACTCATTGCCTCATTTTAAAAAAAGTGAGTATCTTCTACCATTCTGAAAAGTTAGCCCACCAATGATACCAATCTTTGTTTCTGCTTTATCTTCACATTGTTCTTTTGTTTTAAACACTTCATTGCTGGGTTTCCAAATGGAAAACTGCAGCACGGCTTTGCTGATCCATGATGATTTTATAATTTACAATGGTTGCATCAGAATCTCCATGATCATAAAATGCTTAAAAGCATTTCTGTGTTGGTCTTGACTACTACAAACATTAGGTTGCAAAGATCCACCTGTAGCGGCAGCAACTTGTTGGGAGTTGGTGGGCATAAGGGTGAGGGAAATTTAAAAATAGGAAACAGGAATCTGCAATAAAATAACATGAGTTGAGACTCCTTAGGTTAGAAAGTAGCCATTCAAAGGATGTTTTGAAGCATTGTTCTTCCATGGAAAACACAGTCTTCTTTGTCCTCCGAAGCTGTGAAGCTGTCTCAGTAACCACCTGTAGAGATGTAACAATTCTGGACTGGCCAGGTTGAGCTGTGTAGTTAGTGTGAGCAGGGAGAGATCTGCTAATTAGGAGGAGGGTCCTCTGGAGGATTATGATAATCTTCAGTGAATTGTTGTCTAGTGAATATGGGGTCATGGTTGTAGTCTTTTAGATGTGCGGAATGCCCGAGACCTTTCATTGCACACCAGAAGAACAAAGGAAAGTGAGGGGAGAGTACAGCATTTAGAAGAAAGCTTAAGGGAATTTCACTAGGGTAAAGCATGAACGTAATGACAGAAGAAAACGGTAAAAGGCAGCAGCCACATTAACACTAGATATAAAAGCCTTTCTTATTATAGATCAAATTATACCCATACACACCCCTCCTATATACTATAATCATCAAACTAAGGAGAACACCCGCTCCAAGAAGGCTTGCATTGCTGAATGCTAGCTCCCTACAAATACCACCAAAATAACCTGTTGCTAAGGCAAAACTGAGTTTGTTGCTTATCATGGTTAAGTAAGCTTTCTTCCTTGACAAAGTTTTAATAGCATCTTGGAGCGGGAAGGACAATGTTGGACTATTTAAGTGGTTTTTGGGTTTGAGTTTAAAATGGGTCTTTCAATACTAGGGCTTGATTAGAATTAGCTAATGATTATGATAAAATAGTTTTGGCTTGGTGGACATAAGATGAGTGTTTTGAGGTGAGTGTTTCAAAAAGTATTGAGAATCAATAAACTTTTATCTCTCTGCTCCAGAGCTTCCTAGAATAAAAAAGTTGTGTTGATGAAGACAGTAGAAGTCATGTTAATG